GCCCAGGACGACCCCCCGGCGGGCCGCGCCCAGGACACCCAGTATCACCCTGTTCTTGAGTAAGAATGGCCTTCTGACAGGCAGCATCTTCAAGATCAGCTGTCCAAAGTTTGAACTTGGACATATATGTTTGACTTACACCTGCAGTCTGACAAAGACATATTCTGAAATCTTTTATATACTCTCCTGCTGTTAACGGCTTCCTGGGCCTGACTATTTCCTGAGCAGCCAACAAACCAGCACACGTAGTTGGATTTCAGTCCTCCAGCCTTCTGAATCAGGTGTTTTCCATATTTTTCAGCAAAGGCTTTGTGTTTGTGCTGGGAATGTTCTGCAACACAAACTTGTTGTTGTTTAGCACACTGGCAGTGAAAACAAATCCATCTGCACACGTGGCATTAAAGGCGTTTTCAGAAACTTTTCTTGGATTCATCCGTGGTGAAAATCACACGCAGGCGTCACACATCAGCAGTTAGCACACATAGTTTGAGTGTTTCATTTTACAAAATCACCACAACCTCATAAACTTACAGTGACATTTAAAAAAGTAACAGACCAGGATAAGAATAATTCCTGATTTTTAAACGTCACAGCGAGCAGAGTCCCGGTCGCTGACCCCGCGTTAGGATGACAACCCGGAGGAAGAGTTTCAGTTGGAGGTGTGAAGTTCAGCACGCCGTTTCAGCGTGATTCACTCTGATGCTGCGATGGTGCACACTGTGTGTTAAAAATGCTTATCCACAGTCGTCACACACCAACCACCACAGGATGTGAACTGTGTGAGGTGAAAGGATGAAGGACTACATTTAGCAAGTGAAGCAAGTGTGTGTGTGTGTGTGTGTGTGTGTGTGTGTGTGTGTGTGTGTGTGTGTTGCTTGGAGGTCAAGCCATCACAATTGAGCATTACAACAGATGGAAGGAGCAGCTGAGGAACACAGAACTTGATACGGGAGGCTGACGGTGGCCTTTGAATTACTAAGCTGTCTACATGGCTGGGGGCTCTGCTCAGAGGTGCAGAAATAACAAGAGGGACTTAAAGGTTAAATCACCTGGTGAATAAAGGACAAAATGCAGGGCGGGAGGAGGGAACAAGGTGTCACATCAAGGTTAAGAGGGGGATTAAAGCCACAGATGGGCTGGGAAGAGTTTGAAAAGCTGAATGCTGCGATTTGTCTGCTTACCCCCATGGCTGCGAAGACAATGGCAAAGTTGTCTGCGCTGTAGTCCATCACATCCTTGGACTTCTGCACCAGGCCAGCCTGACGACAGATTTGTGCAGCAATCTGAAAGCACCAATGAGAAACAGATTCAGACACACAGGCGGACAGAAGAAGGCTAACAGTCGACAAAAGGCTCTCAAACAACATGTAAGCTGGAGTCAAATCATACGAAAGCTTCAGGTTCAAAACTATCACGTGCTATTTACAGACTATAGCTGCTATTATTAATGAGACAATCACCAAGGAAACTACAGCCACTCCCACTGTGACTGAGCAGCTGCCTCTCCATCAGGACTCTCATTACCGTTTCATATCTGACATTCAATCCCTGCATAAACCACCACATTACACATACGACTGCAGAGACGTCGCTGTAGTGAACGTGTGACATGACCCTGACCTCTCTGCGCACCTTGAGTTCAGCCACCTGGGCCACAGGGAAAAGGCCTGCATGGAGGAGCTCTGTCACGTGTGCTTGATGACACAATGACACCAAACAGACCATAATTAGGTGGAGAACACGTTGTGTGTTTGTTTGGGCCCTTCTGCAGCACGTTAATCATGCAAAATGATCCTGGGTGGCTTTTGTGGGCACCGTGGAAACAAATGTGGGAACATATTTACAAAAGTACCTGCTGACAGATCAAAAGAAAATGGCACCTGTGCGTTTGTGGTCACATGATTCTGTGGAATCAGCATCTGTGGGTGCTGTGGATGCTATGATAATAAACGTCAAGCAGACAGCTGATTATCAGAAGTGTGAGATGCTGGAGAAAATACTCCGGTGTCCTGTTATATTTTAGATAGCAAGGAGTTTATTAAACTTCACCAAAACAATCTGCAAATTTCATTAAAATTTAATAAACTATCATCTTGTCTTTATTTTTAGTTAGCACATACCTTAAACACTTAAAGCTGTAAGCTAATGATAGTTATATAAGAGCAGATGCTGCTGGTGCAATAAGCTGTATGTTTTACGTCCAATGGATGATGATCTGATTAGTCGACTAATCGCAAAAATAATCGGTGACTAGTCGACTATCAAAATAATCGTTTGTGGCAGCCCTAGTGTCCACAGAGCAGAAATTAGGCTGGTGATCAAATCCTAACAATAAAGCTGGTGCTCCTGAGCTGAACACACTGAACCTGACCCAGCTTTATACACGAGGGATATTTGGGGATGTAGTACATTTGTGAAGTGTCTGAACATGAACACACTACAACTGAGTCATGGATTTCCACTGTGAGGCACAAAAACCTCCAAAAAGGAAACAAAACAGCTGTCATGTGACACAGAAGGACCACAGCTACCACTCATGACTCATCCCACTCACTCATGTTAAACATTTCCACTGAAAGACTTCCACAAAATTGGACCTCAACATATCCCAAAGCATGTAGCTTAAACCTCTGAGCTAGCAAAAAGTTGTTGGTGTATTCAAAGCAGCTGTGAGTTCTTGGTACAACAGTTTGGTAAAAGCACGACCTCCCAGAGTACAGGGATGAAAAAGGTTGAGTTTAAAGCTGCGAGTTTAAGAGACAAAGGTTCAAAAGGACAGACTAAAGACGAGGGCTGCACTGACTGATCACCAGCTGCCTGAGGTCAATTCTTTTTATCTTGTTTTATCAGTAATGTAATAAATAATCATTACATTTGTAACATATGTAATGACAATGTAATACACAAGCTGTCCACGTCTGAACTCTGACACGAGTGAGGATGAGGAGGAGCCACACATATCCATTACTCTCAGCTCTAAAGAGAAGAAAACAAAGTGCTGCTTCTGTTTGTTTGAAGTAAATTCTACCTTATCTCCTCAGCCTTTACACATGAACACCTAAATAAATACCTAAATTAAAAAGTATGTAAGTGGCTGTAAATGTAATATCTGTCCACTCCATGATAAACCATCCATCACTGTAATGGTGCTCTCCCATTAGTACCGTATTCTTTTCCTGTATGCGGGAAGTGGGACATAAACTCCCTGGTGTCGGTTTGGTTTTTCTAATTGTTGTTATTTGGACCACAGAGCACGTATTAGGTGGGTGGATAGCACTACTTTAACCTCCTCTGGCAAACTAAGGAGCAGACTGTCCGAACCATATCTGGTCTCTAAGTGAGGACGTATGAACCACACTACTCTGAATTTATTATGGCTGTTGTGTTTTTAACATGTTTTAATGCTTTGAATCTT